TTATTACATTTTTTCCAAAACACTCATAAAATCATTCAAAATGTATTAATCGATATAATATTCTTATCAACATATTTCTTATATGAAATTATTTAAAGTCTGAGTAGTGTTGGATAACACGTTTTCAAAATCCAGATGTTCATCCAGACAGATGGATTTCTCTTGTCATGTTGATTAAGAATATATACACTTTATGTGATCGGAGATGATTACTTCCGCCTATTAAGAATATACAAGTACATAGCATAAACCTAATATATCCATTTATGAACCATACAAATTAAATATTTAAGGTTTCAAGTTTTAGGGTTTGGTTAATATACGAGAATGTACGTATATAAAAAACCTGAAAAAATATTTCCACATTTATATATAATCTATTTAATTGCTGAAATATTCTCTGTATGTGTATAAACGGCAATACGAAATAAATGAATGTGTTTTAACAAAAGCTTAAGAGCTATTGAATTTAACAATATTAATACTCAGAGAAGATTAACATTGCTCCCCAAACGTTTTAAAGTTGGAAATGTTAAATAAAGAAATACTTTCTGTGTGGATATCGATTCCAACTAACGTAAATTCTGTTCTAAAGCAGAAAGCGTTTTCAATATTCTTTAGTGGAGTTGAGGCATCATGCCATTTGCAAGAATATAATGGGTAATACATTTGAATAAAACTATCTAATGGGTCATCCATCTAGGTGTGATACACACTTGCACTAAACTACTATGCCATTTTATCCTATGGGTTCAGAGTAAAATTTAGCCACCACTACTATGTATATGTTATAAATCTGAAATATATATGTACAATCAAATTACCCGTATTTTGTTTAACAAAACAAACATGATGTCTGCTTTTTATTTTCCATTAAAGTTCTATTTGTTTTTAAACTTTACTTTTCTTTAGCCTTAAATAGCAATTTAATTGCTATTGTGCTCAAATATTTTAAGCAGCACATTGCTATTTGGTTTCTTATGCTGTCGACAAAATTTTAGCCAAGCAACCTATTTTCCAACCTTGTGCAACTAAGTATACTTGTAGTGCAACGGTACAAGTTAAACTAAATTGCGAAATTTTAGCAAGCTATGCACACTAAGAATGAACAAAAGCTGCAAGCTGACAAAAGTGCATAATTCTATAAAAGGCACACAAATTGAAACACAAACACAAAACTCGAACATCTACACTCCTGATATTCCTCAGGCACTTCCTAGAGCATAGCAACGCCCACAGCACACACACACACACACACACACACACACACACACATATGCGCACACATAAGTGTGTAAGTGTGGAAGAGGCACAATACGTGGCTGCAAATTTGCTAAAAGAAAACTTTTGGCGCTGAGCGTTGAGTTTCTATTAAAAATATTGTCAACTCAAAACAGACTTACACACACACACACACACTCACCCCACACACGCACACACTCACCCCACACACGCACACACTCACCCCACACACACACACACTCACCCGCATACACGCACAAATAGGCACCGAGAGCAAGAGAGCGAGTTGATTGTTGTAAACAAAGTTTTCATAAAGAATTTTGCTTGGTTGCAACGGCAATGGCATCGGCAACGGCATAAAAACGGCGCCAACAACAGAAAACTGACAAATTGGCAGCCTCGAAAGAATCACGAGCAGCTGTGGTAAGGATGCTGTTTCTGCTACTGCCAGCCAGCCAGCCAGTGAGCCAGCCAGCCAAACAAACTAAACCAAAGCGGTGAAAATCGCAGTAAACTTCAAGATGGCATAAAAAATAAATTGACAATTTTACTGAAGATTTTTCCTCTCCTGGACAAACAGCCGAACAAAACTCACAGATAGTTGTGCTTGCCGTAATTTTAGGAATGCAATGCAGCTGCCGTTTCCTGACTGCTGTTTCTGCCGTCACTAGTCGAATGCCTGGGCGACCAACAAAAATGAATTCTGCGGTTTGGCCAATGAGCGTCAAGGATATATATATACATCTGTGTTTGTTTGTTCCTGTGGTGGATGGGGGTGGACTGGCGGAGGCGGAAAAGTGTAAACTCGTTTAGGTGCTGCTGCAGTTGTTGCTGTTGCTTGCGCTGTTGTGCCACAAATTAAAATGTGGCCACGTTTTAAATTTGCACAGAATTTATTGTTTTCTGGCGACTTAGCAAGGACAACAATGCCAGCGAATAAGTTAAATGCTTTTTATGGCTGCCAGAAAAATGCGAGGACCACAAAATAAAGGCAAGGCCGAAATAATACATTAAACAAGTAGCCAAGCAAGCAACATAATGCGCCACGACATCAACGACAATAAAAAGGATAATGCGACAAGTTGAGAATTCGCACGCCGAGCGAATGAAAAAGAAGAACGAACGAATGACCGCCATTTTTGTGCGGGAAGTTTGTCTGTGTTGGGCGGCAACAACAAGAGCGTAGCAGCAGGAGAAAAGTTGAGCGCATTTAATGAGTTTATTGAACCAATTGCTAGTTGCTGCAAAAGTTGCATCATTCGTTGCCCTGGTCCTAGTCGTCTCTGTTGTCATTGCCGTTGGTCAGGACTTGGCACATGGCGAACATTGTCTTGGCACGAACTCACGGAGTAGGGCCCATGCCAGTTGCCAGTGTCCAGCAATTCCTGTTTATATAAAGCTAAATGATGCCGTGCCTCAGGGCGTCCCACACACACATACATACATACAGATAAGCACACAGGCCACTAGACAATTGTACAAACGTACACTGAGAGAAACTCCGCTCCTCAAAGTATGCAACAAAGAATATTGTTTTAATGTATTAATATATGGACTTAGGAGTATTCACAGTGAGAACTCTCTTGGCCGCCCAAGGGGAGTGTCCGCTCAAGGGGATACTTAAATACTTTATACACCTATTTTTATACCCTGTACCCGTAGGGTAAAAAGGGTATATTAGGTTTGTGCAAAGTATGTAACATACAGAAGGAAGCATCTCCGACCCCATAAAGTATATATATTCTTGATCAGCATGACGAGAGAAATCGATCTAGACATGTCCGTCCGTCTGTCCGTCTGGATGAACGCGAGGATCTCAGAAACTATAAAAGCTAGAATAACCAAAGTTGGCATCCAGATTCTCCTAGGTCCGAGTAAGGACGAGTTTATTTTATTTTTTTAATTTTCCCCCTCCTTCCCCCGCTACAGAATTTCGTCAATAGCGTCCACATTTCAAATGCTACCTAAACCAAACTTTGCACACATAATTTCTATATAATTATGTACTGTTGTTTAAAATTTTATCAAATTCGGTCAATTCTAAGAAAAGTTAGCGAAACAAATTCTCGCCAGTACAACCCCCAACAACTGCCGCAACAAGTTCGCTCTTCTTCTTCCTCTTTTTGCTGCTGCTATGGGCGCATATAACTCAGTGACGGAAGTTTACCTGGGTACAGGGTATTACACTGTCGGGCTTGCTCGACTGTAGCGTTCTCTCTTGTTTTTTTTAGAAAAAGTGTCCGCCGAAGAGAGTGTCCGGATAAAAGAGGTGTCCATTAAGGGAGTTTTCACTGTAGTTATAAGAAACACAATGAAACACTATTCAACAGAATATGTTAGAATAATATAAACATTTTCTTACTTTATATTTTATAAATCATTAATATTTTGAAAAGATTATAAATGTGCGTGCTGGCACATTCTTGGTTTAAGAAGTGAGGTACACAAATCATTCAGTTTTTTATTTCCAACAGCACCACCAGAATCAAAAGCTATTCAAACTTTATATCAATAATTTATAATGCTTTTAAAATAAATAAATCTTAATAATAACAACCAGCCGTTAAAGTTTTAGTAAGGAATTTCATAAATTTTGACCTTCAATTGATCAATACGTGAAGATATAAGTATATATTTATTTGAGTGTAAGCAGAACTTATTCCAACACCGTCTCAGGCTTGCCAACAACAGGAAACATTTTTATCTTCCGGCATAGTTCGTTGTCGTTCGGTCCAGTTCAAGAGAAGATTGTCGCCAAGAAAAATGAAATTTTATTTACGACAAAGGATTTTCTGATTTCTCTTAATAGTTAATTCTCTTGCTGTAATTCTTTTCTACTCCTTGGCTGCTGCTACCGCTTCAACTCCTGCTGCCGCTTCGTGTCTTAGCCTTTTCCATATCCGTTTTTACAACGTCGCCAACAACGTGCGACTGTTCAACACTGCAGCCTGGCAACGAAATTGCGGCAGACAGAAGTCATTTAAGGAGAATTTATGGGATTTTAACTGACATTTAAACAGTTGGAGAGCAAAGCTTGTCGGCCAAGATTAGCGACGGCTGTTCAACAAAATGTTATGGACAAACGGCCTGTGAGAATGGACTACGACGCTGGATGTTGCCACGTTGGCAGCAGTTGGTGTTGAGAAAAAACCGAAGAGAAAAATGAAATGTAATTTCATTTGAAAACTGTGAAAACGTAGTGGAATGTGCAGAGCACTGATGGGCAGTTCGCCGAAGAATTACGCAAAATCACAGTAGTTGCAGTGCCATGTAATTAGTCAAATAAAGTTGTACATTTGAGATGCAGATTAAAGGGGTGGGCGGGGGAGTTGAAAGTTGATAGTGTGTTTTGCAAGTGTTAGCTAATAAATAGTTTGAAATGAAGCATAGTCCGTGGTTCAATTACATTATCAACGTATTTGCTTATTAGCAGCCTATCAGTTACCGCAATTAATTATCAATTAATAATCAAATTCTGATAGAAATAATACCGTTTTTATTGTTGTTATTTCAATTGTTGTTTGAAGCATTGCTTAGCTGACCATACTTCATGTGTGTCAGTAGTACATAGGTACATGCATAAATAACCAAATTGTTCCGCTATATCGTATATCGCAACAGGAATGATGACCGTTTTTTAATAAAAATGAATATTTTCTAGCAAACAACGGCTTAGCCACCAATTATTATTATTTAAGACTAAGCCTTTTGTGTGTTCGATGTACTATTTCAGGATATTTGACCCAATCATTACGTACCTCTTACAATAGTTCCTTATTTAAAAATGTCGTTTTGTGGACCGTGAAGTTTCTGAAAGATAAGAAAATGAACTTTAAAAAATGAGAAAAAATCAGGCCTTTGTAATATTTTTTAGACTTAGCAGACAAAAGAGTTTGAACGCTTTTGAAGTAAATAGTTAGAAATACATGCGTACAAAACTCGTTAGTTTAACTAATGTACCGGTTTGTATGCCAAGCCCTAAAATAGTGGTCAACTACAAAGTTGCTTTTAAATCAATTAACGCTGCACTAAAGTGCTTAAACTTTACGGCGAAACTGACCACACTCAGTTTTGGTCGAGCCATGAATTGTTAATCAGTGAGCCGCACATGGCCTACGGAAAAAGCAACAAGCCCAAAAGCTCAACAGAGCAAGAGTAAATGACCCCAATAAGCCATTTGCCAGACCTGACCACTACTACATCAGTGCCAGGGAAACTGAAATTGAAATTGTGGGTGGCACCACGCTGCCAGCCGTTTTGCAACTATTTAAAGTTTGTAACTTCAAACTAACTGCCACTTCATGTGACTCTATTTGGGTGGGGCTGGGACCAACCGCCTGCAGACCAACAAGCACACACAGGCACACATCCGCAGCACACATCGTGCACACACTCTTAGCATATTTCATAATTTTTCAAACCGTTGTCAGAACTTCATTTTTGGCGAGCCAGCGGACCAAATTGTTGCAACAACCGTGGCAGCAAGCATAGCAGTCGACATGGAAACAATTATGCGCCGTTGCCAGGGTTGCTTGCATGACAGGCAGGGTTGTCCATTGCATCGATTTATGGCAACTTTTTGGCAACAGCACTTGTGACTTTTTTTGGTTTTGCGTTTTTGTTGTTGCTGCTAGTGCTGATGTTGCCCTTGTTGTTGTTAAAGTTGTTTTTTACAGTGAGTGCTGCAGTAATCGAAAAGTTAATTCTCCGAAAAACAAGGTAATTAGTGTAACAGTGCTTGAGCTGTGGCTGCGGAGAATGTGCAAAAATAACGAGAAAAGTTTAAGAAGGGCAACTGCAAAACATCAAATAAAAAACATTGCAAAAGAGAATGAGAGAAAAACTGTTGTGTGGCATTGTTGACTGCAGTTAGTTGCTAACACGTTGCCAGAGTTTGGCCCTCAAGAAGGGCCAAGGCCTGACCATCAACGGCGCAGCCACAGGTAGAACATGAATATAAAGCAGAACCAAACCAAGCTGAATTGCAATTAAGCTTCTGCTGTGGTCGCTTTCAGCATAAGTTATGTGTAGATTGAACTACAGTTAAGACTTGTTATAGGAAATTCTAAAAGAATATTATTAGATTTGAGTGGATATAACAGCGATATTTGAACGTCTGTCCCTCGAGAGGACTTTGAGGCCACACAAGTTGGACGTGCCTGATCAAAAATTATTTCAAATAGTCCAGTTTAGAATTTATACAAAAACATTAGGTATTCATATCTTTAAAATCAATTTTTTTAAAAATAGGTTCGATTTAAATGCCCAGATATTCCATCAACATTTAAGCCAAGAGTAGGAATTATCCAGGAATGGATTTGCCAATTTCCAAATTATTGGTAAGACCAGACGAATATGAACATATTTAATTGTTGATTAAGCATTTCACAAATTCTGTATTGATTGATTTATGTGCCTTTAATATTTTTAAATATTATGCTATGAATCAATATAAAATGGCACTAGAGACAAAATTTACTAGAATTTCCAAGTTTGTCCTTAGTGGTTGTGTGGTATAAACACAAAAGCGCAAGCCCCTGATATGTATGTTCGCTGTGGGCTGTAACTATATACATTTTAGGTCAATTATAAGATAACTAATGATCATGCAGATCAATAGTTTGAAATATATAAATCACTGGACACAATCAATAGAAGTAGTAGTAGAGACAAACTAAGAAACCAATTTTTAATGCGAATCATGCACACGATAAAGGTACTATAATTCTTAACTCATTGGAAACTCCAAAAATTGTACGCGAATTCCGGATTTTGTAATTTAAATAAATATTTTTTTACTTACTCAACTAACTTGCCACCGTTTGGACATAATTTTATAACGACAATCCTAGTTTTTTTTTCTGTGTGTATGATTAATCATTATTCTTTAAAACGAACTCAGACTGTTCTCACAGACCTACTATTCATAAGCACGCGTCAAGCGAGCTCTTTCCACATTAATTAATAAACAAAAACTTCTTGAGGCCTAAGAAAAACAAGCTCACTTTAACCCAACAAAACCAAAAACAACAATCACAACTTTGGCGTTTGTCATTCGCAACTTGTTTATTGTTCCACATGCCACACACATGCACATTACACACATATGCATGCCAACAAACATACACGTATGTATATAAATCCAAAAGGGTTTGAATTCTATATAGCATAGACGTGCCTAATGACAACGTGAAGTTTTTGCCACCACATCAATCAAAAGTTTTTCATCAACGTCATCAGAGTTATCAACATGGCCGCAGGCGTTGGAAACTACAACTACATTTACAATAACAAAAACAACAGCAACAGCTCGTAACAAGTTGTTGGTATTGCGGTGTCGACGTTGTTGTTTGTCAACAAAAAGGACACACACAAACAGCATCATCAGAGTTGTGGCAAACAGCAACAACCATAACAGCGATAGCAAAAAAAAAGGGCGTGTGCACATTGCGTATACGTAATATGCTATTGACCGTAAGCAGCCGTACAGCTTCTGCTTCTGGCTTATTCGACCGGCCTGAGCTAAATATCTGCATAATTTATGACTACAACAATAATAGCCATGTGGCATAATGACGCTGGCGTAGACCACAATGATGATAAACAAAAATGTTCTCACCTTAAACATGAAAAATGGCGCCATAAAACATTCCAAAAGAGATGCGAAAAAAGTACAAGAAGCGCGCTACTGAGCCAACTAAATAACTCAAAACGAAATGCCTGAGATGCCACACAAATCTTTTTAAGTTGCCACAGCAGCCGCTGCGTCATTGCCCCGTGCGTATACGTAATATTGATATAATCCAGCGCACTTCATCTTCATCATCAACAGCTAAGTGGAGACAGGACGAGGCGCGGCGAGACATAGCTAAGCAGGGCACATGTTTATCAGCTTCATCATCGAGGGCTCACACTTCTTACAACAAGCAGCTGCAAATCATACGACAGCCCGTCACAGCCTGTGAAGAAACATGGCGACCACACCCTGGCATGGCTGCTGTTTCTGTCATCGGCTTTTTCCTCCTGACGACATCTTCATCTTTGAAATGCGTTTAATTATGTCACAGCTAGGAGGGCGAGCACATTTTTTTGTCCTCGTACTTTGCTGCCAGCATGAGTGACAAACAGATGGGGATACTTACACACACAAACACATTTCCACACACTTTCACACAAACACCTGCACACACCAACACCCACACCCACACCCACTAGCCCCAGCATTGGCAGGAATAGCTCGCTGGACTAAAGTGAGACTAGGGGCTGAGCTGCCGCTCTTCGATCTAAGCTGTCTGGGCTGCTTCAGCATCAGCTCCGGCTCCGACTCCTTGCCCATCACATTTTTCATTTGTTTCGTTTGTACGACGACGTTGCGCATTAAGCTTGACAGTCGGAGCGTTTGTGCATAATCGTGATGCTGTAAGTCTGACTCTCTACTCCCAGCTGATATGTGTGTTTGGTTCTCTGTGTGTGCAACTTTTGACGACGGTGCTCAGCACTGAGGCAATAAGCTACCAATTACTAAAGTGTTTTAGTCTAAAGCTATGCTCCTTGTTACTTTACAAAGAAGCAACTGCACCAGTCGAGGAGCACCCTGACTTAACTTTGACCGGTTGTATTAGTTCGCAGAATGTTGGGCATAAGCAGAGACATGTACCCAAATCTGTTTAGAGAATTAACATATGGCAGCCATATTGGAGATTCGACAACAAGTTCAATCAAAAATTCGTGAGCAAAACAATGAAGCAGGGTATTTTAAGTTTTACATTTTTGAAATGTAGGTGAAGAGTAAAGAGGCTTAATTAATACAAGAATTACTGCTTTAGGTACCTGAGAAGAATTACAATTGCATGTTATTTTTAGAGGACAACTGCTTATCATAGCCTTTAATCGACTATTATTAATGAAAAGAAAAGTTCGCCTGAGCTAAAAATGTTACATATGTTCCTTTAATTATATCTGTCATGCAGTTTCTAATATAAACACTCTTTTTAAATTATGAGAGCTTTATTTTATAATATGTTACAATAAGCCTTGTAGTCCTGGGTGCATAGTAAGAGAAGTGGTTGAAACAGAAGAACGAATAACTCAAAGAAGTAGTTATATTTCAAAAATGTTCGATATGCGAACGCAGGAACATATGGATATAGAAATATTAAACCTTGCAGTATTCCCTTTTACCACTTGGTTCTTAAAACGTTTTGGGAAACTAGAACTCTTTTCGTCTTTAAAATCATCTAATAGAAATGAACACATGCCCCCTAGCTCACTAATAAGTTCTAGGTGGGTATAGGCAGTGGAGAATGCTGCTTAATTAAAGCTTGAAGCTATTTTGTACATTGAAAACGACTTAGGCACGTTGGTAGTGTGTGCTATATAAGTTGGCCTAATTGCCCTACAAACAACAGGGCTTGTAATTAACAGAAACCAAAGATGGAGTAATTGGCAGCCTCTGGTGATGCTTCGTTACCTACACATATTAGCTATTGTGTATACAGTTTTGGGTATGTCCCAGTGCCCGAATTTTCTCTTATCTAATGCGTCTGCTTGTCTTCTATCAATAATTTTTAGTTATAACTAAATATAACTAGTCCTCTGAGATCTTGTAACCTAGATAATTATAAGTATATGTATATGTATGTCCGAAACAGAAATGTATAATTCTGCACACCTATAGATCTTGACTTTGAGTACGAGTATTCTTCCAAATGCTATACCAACTACTATGTTATGTTTATAGTAGTGTCGAGTTTCTACATTCAAGAGCTAAACTTTTCCCTAA